GTTCAGAGTACATGAGACAGTCTTACCGTCCTCACTGCTAAGGAGCATTCCAACTATCCTTCTTCCAAGGCAGATCTGTTTGCTCTTCTGGAAGCCGCAAGATATTCAGTAGTCTTCACCAACACCACAAGCCAAAGGCATCACTTCTTCTCTGGTCTTCATTGTTCTTTTTTATTTTTAGGCTTAAGGGTCTTCATTGTTCAATGTCCAGCTTTCACATGCATCTGAGGCGCTGAAGATACCAGGGCTCGAGTCAGCCACATCTTAGTCCTCAAAGTGACAGCTTTCATTTTTAACACTTTAAAGGAGTCTTACGCAGATCTTCCCAGTACAATTGGTAATTTGATTTCTTGACTGCTCTTTCATGGGCACTTATTGTAGATACAATAAAAATGAAATCCAATGTCAATGTGAACCTTTCCTCCATGTCATGATGTTGCTTATTGGTCCAGTTGTGAGGATGTTACATTCTCTGATGTTGAGGGGTGTTTTGAGTCCTCCTGGCTTTCAGCAAGGTTGTGTCAACTGTACAACACAGGTTGTTAATGACTCTTCCTCTGACCTTGATGCTGGGTTCTTCAGAGAGTCCAGCTTTGATGATTTGCTCAGCATACAGACTGAATAAGTATAGTGCCAAGAAACACCACTTACACACACTTTTCTTGATTTTAAAGCACACGATCTCTCCTAGTTCTATTTGAATGACTGCTTTTGGGTCTATGTATAGATCCCATGTGAATACAAGTGCTCTAGAATTCCATTCTTTTCAATGTTATCAGTAATTTTCTCTGATTTGAACAGCCGAATGCCTCACATAGTCAATAAAATATATATAAGTATCTTTCTAGGATTCTCTGCCTTTAGCCAAGATCCATCTGATATCAGCTAATTCCCCAATTTCATGTTCTTCTATGAATCTGGCTTGAATCTCCAGCAGTTCCCTCTCAGTGTACTGTTACAATCTTTTTTTTAAAATTAATCTTCTGCTAATTTTACTTATTGGTGATATTGCCTGATCATTTTCATATTCTGTTGGGCCACCTTTTTTGGAATGGGCACAAATATGAATCCCTTTCAGTCAATTGGCCAAGTAGCTGTCTTCCAAATTTCTTGGCATACACACGTGGGCACTTCCAGCATTGCATCTGTTTGCTGAAATATCTCAACTGATAGTCTGTCAATTCATGGGAGTCTTGTTTCCACCAACGTCATCAGTGTAGCTTAAATTTCTCCAATAGCACCATTTCTTTTTAAAAAAAATTAGTATTCCTTTTTAACAGTTTCACTGACATGTAATTTATATGTCATTCATTTCAGTACGTCAGTCATATTCATAAGAGTTATACAAACACTATCCCAATCAATTTCAGGACATTTCTTCCTCCTTGTACTCGTTAGCTCCCCACTTCCCGCCAGCCTCCCTTGCCACGTGCTTTGGATGCTATTAATCCAGTTGTTGTCTCTACAGATTACCTAATCTGGCTTTCATATACAGAGAGCATACAAAGTCAAGACAAAACACAAACAAATGGCCCAGCAACAATGACAAACCAACAGAGAAAAGGCCCAACAGAAAACAAAGCAGGAAATAGTAAACACAGGAGCAATTATACATTGGGTCAAGGAGGAGATCAATGACAAGGTGTCACATTTTACCTAATTAAAACTGCAATAATCCACCCTACAATGTACCATGTCTGATAACAAGGCCTTTCCCATCTCTGGTCCATCATCAGTGGGGATACACCACAGGCTTAATGCACAGGAGGGACCTGGTGATGAGTTTGGGGCTTTCACTGTCATCTACAGCCTTCTGTAAACTGGGTGTTCAGAACTTAAGCTCTAATACCATTCGCTCCTCTGGGTTTTGATTTTATTAGTTACAGTTCTTGGATCACATAATACCAATTAATTTCTTGATCATATGCTACCTCCTATACAGATTTACAGGAGAAAAATAGGGCATTCTACTCTTGGAAACTCATAGGGGCAGTTCTACAAGGTTGCTATGTTTCAGCATTGACTCGATAGAAGTGAGTTTGTTTTTTGTTTTTTTGGTACAGATTTAGGACAGTTCTACTCTGTCCTGTAGGGCTGTCTGAGTTAGTATTGACTTCATGACAACAGATTAAGAATTTCACTTAAAAAAAGAAAAGAAAAACATGTGAACTAATAAATTAGTAAGTTGAGTGATGAAAGATCAACATATAACAATCAGCTATATTTCTATATACTGTCATGAATAATATGAAAATGAAACTAAGAAAACAACTACTAGCACAGTAGTATTGAAATAAGTATTTAGGAATAATTTTTTTAATTGACATTGTTGAAAAATTAAAGAATAAAAGAAAGTTTATTCACACACTCACATTCACACATCAAACAGCATAATATTGTTACAATAGTATTATTGCAAATTGGATAGTAATATTTCAAATTGCAAAAATAGTAATATTGCAAATCACAATAGTAATATTGCAAATCTAGGAATCCAATGTAATTCCATCAAAATTCTAGCTGGCTTCTTAGCAGTTGTCTCTAAAATTCATATGGAAATCCAAAGGACTCAGAACTATCAAACAATATCTTAAAAAGACCAAAGTTGGAAGGCTCACATGTTTTGATTTTAAAACTCTACATAGGAACCCTGGTGATGGCCTGGTTACAGGTTGCACGTTGGGCCGGAAACTGCAAGGTCAGCAATTTGAAACCACCGTGGGAGAAGGAGTAGGCTTTCTACTTCCTTACAGAGTTACAGTCTCGGAAACCCACAGGAACAGTTTTACCCTGCCCTTGAGGGTCACCAAGAGTGAGCCTTAACTCAATGGCAGTGAGAGTGAGTGAGTGAGTGAGTGAGTGAGTGGTAAAGTCACAGCAATCAAGATTACGTAATGCAGGCACGATAGCCAAGAGCCCATAGTCATCAAGTCCCTTCTCATGAGAGGGTTTCCAGCACCGTCAATGTTTATGGGAGCAAACTGCCTCATCTTTTACCGTGGAGTGGCTGGTGGTTTTAAATTTTGCAGGTAGTGGTCTGATGCCTAATCCAAAGAGCCCCCAAGGCTCCTTATAGACATAACAATGAAATCAAGTGGAAAGACCAGAAATAAATGCTCACATTACAATAAATTGATTTTCAATGAATGCAAGCACAAGTTAATGGGGGAAAGAATAATCTTTTGAGCAAACAGTGCTTGAACTAATGGATATTTATTTGCAAAACAATCAACTTAGCACCTTTCCACATATCATAAGTAAAAATTAACTCAAAATGAATCAAATCCCGATTGCGAAAGCTAAAACTATTAAAACTCTTGGAAGAAAACGTGGACACAAATCTTTGTGTTCTTAGATTAGACAAGGATTTCTTAAATATGACCCCAAAAGCACAAGCAACCAAAAAAAAGAGACCCATAGTGCCACCAGGGCTTGCAAATCATCTATCTGATAAAGAAGGTGTATAAAGAATACACACACACACACACAGAACTCAGAACTCAATAATAGCGACAAATAGCTCGATTTTAAAATGGGCTAATGATCTTCCCCAAAGAAGATTTACTGAGAAATGGCCAAAAGGTGGGTGGAAAAATGCACAACACCATTGACCATCAGAGAAATGCAATGCAATACCATAATGAGATAGCACTTCACACCCACGTGGCTATAGTTAAAAAGGCAAATAACCAGTAAGTGTTACCAAGAATGAGAAGAGAGCCAAGTACAGCCTCTCTGGAAAAGGATGGCAGTTCCTCATGGAGTTTAAGAGAGTTAGCATATGGCCCAGCAATTCCATTTCTAAGCCGAACTGAAAGCATATGTCCACACAAAAACTTGTGCATAAGCGTTTGTAGCGGCACTGTACATTACAGCCCCCAAAGTGGAAACGACCCAAATGTTCAACTGACGTTTAACCAAAATGTGGCCTATCCATACAATGAAAAAGATAAGATACGTGCTAAAACATGAAGACTGAACACATGATGCTAAGTGAAAGAAATGTATGACCATCTATGATAAGGTTCCATTTATAGGAAATGTCCACAATATATAGGGATAGAAAGTAGAAAGCATGTATTACCTTTTTGATTATGTTTAAATGACCATGTGGTTCATGCATTTATACACTATGTCTTTCTTCATCCTAAAATTCTTCTAAAATATTTTAAGCACAAAAGCATGAATGGGTCAAGGGGAACAGATCTAGCATTTTCAAACATCTAAAGAAAATCCAGTTAAACCTCACAGGCAGAAAATCAATTTGACATTGTTGAGTGACCAGAATCCCTTCAAGTTAAAATCTGGCCTCCCGTGAACTGAAAATTACTAGTAATAATTAAACTCTAATTAACTTGTAGTTTAATATCACTTCTCCGCCTTTTGGCTAAGATCAAGTGTCACTTGTAGTTTAATTAGAGTTTCTTTCTCTTTTTTAAAATTAAAGTTAAAAGTAATAAAACTGCATGACTAAAGTTACTAATAATTTGCAAGATATGTGCATATTTTATAAAGGAAATCCACAATATAAAGCTGATATTCACTACATTTTACTTCACAACAAAGACGTGAAAACTAGATGGAATAGTTAAAAGTATTTATAAAACAAACTTCATAGGTTTCTTGCAGGACCATTTTGTAAATTTTTGCAAGCCTCATAAAAGACACACACACACACAATTTACTTTCCTTCTATAGCTCTATTCCTCACCCTTGTTATGGCCCTTCTACTTTTTTTAAATTGAAGTAAACAAGGCTAATAAGGGTCAAGGTTAAACATTTATATAGGCTATGGTTATCATGAAAGAGATAAACAAGGGCCATAAAACTAAACTTGTAAAATCACTTTCCTCAAAATTTACCCAAAGATTAAATCTGGAGAAAAATATTTCTACATGTTTGCTCATGCCAGTTTATTCTGAAACTTAAGAGTTATTTTTTCTATCTTTTCTTTTCCAATGTAAATCATGATACTATCAAATGAGAAGGAAGTTTGGTACCTTAATCTTTTCTTCAACAAGGTAGGTGCAGGATTCAGGCCAGAGAATAATTTTCCCTGAAAAACACAAGGCCAATATAAGTGATGAGTATGCTCTGGCAAACGAAGCAAAATATAAGCTACATCCATAAGAGGAATGGCTTCTGCTTTGAGAGTGCATTGAGATAGGGGCATATAACTGACCCAGGGGTCACCTTACAGTTCACAGACTAGAGTGAGAAATAAGAGCGTCTCTTCATATTCTAGCACAAAAGCATATTTGCTAGGTCAAAAGGTGGCATTTTAAAACCACCAAGATACACTCCGGCGGCAAAGCAACGTGGCATGTGGAAATCCGTTGGCCTTAATGACTGGGTTACTCTTTAGACTTTTACAAGCACTTAATTTATCCACACACAAAAAAACCTCACTGTCATGGAGTCAGTGCTGACTCATAGCGACCACCTGCAGATTTCCGAGGCTTTAACTGTTTATTAAGAGAGTACAACGCCCAGTCTTTCTCCCGCGGAGCTGCTGGTGGTTTCAAACCACCGACCTTGAGGATCACACCCCACGTGTAACCACTCCACCACCAGGGCTCCTAATTAATCCACAGGTGTGTGCTACTTCATCATTTTTTAATATACAATATATTTTATTGAACTTTATAACTTCTTAGCAAGATGATCTTAATTACATAACTGGCCCCTTAAAGTTTGCAAATCCTACCCTGGGCCACTGAATTTCTTTGGCTGCTATTACGGATGTTTGTCGTTTCCACTCGGTCTACAGGGTCGCTAAAGAGTCGGAAGGCCGTGAGCTGGCTTTCGAGTTGCACAGTTGCCTCATTTTAGTTTTGCAAAGAGGAAGCGCCGCCAGTAAGTGACAGAAAGGACGGACACGGTTTTACACGGCGATTTTATGTCCTCCACCGAGGGGCAAGATCAAGACGGAAGTGGGTAACGCCGGAGGGCGAGGGGGTCCCCAGGGCCCAGGCTTTCTGCTTCCCAGGCCCCGCAAGCCCGCTCCAGAACGAGCAGAAAGCCCAGCCCCTCGGGTCAGGGGGTGCAGGGAGAGTCACCCCACCCGTGAGCGCACGAGCACGCCGGAGGGCGAGGGGGTCCCCAGGGCCCAGGC